TTTTTATTATTTTCCATAGTTATGTAAATGTGATGAAAATTTAATATTTTTTGGTTCACGTCTTGGTAATTCTTTACTTCTTCGTTTACATGAAAATGCAATTATTGATCCAACATCAATTGATACAATTGAAACAATGAATGGTGATGAAAATGATAATAATCGTAATGATTATCATGAACAATCTGAATTAATAAATGAATCAATAAATAAAACAAATTTATCTGATATGATTGATAATGATATAATTATTCCAAATAATAAAAATGATATTATATTTTTTACAAGTGAAATTGATACAAATGAATCAAAAAAACAAACATATACATATTCATTTGAATATTGTGATAATCTTATAAATATTGGTCCATGTGGTTATGCTATTGTTGGTGAAGGTGATAGTGAAGAAATACGTTTATTACAACGTCATTTACCACCACATTATCAAACAACACCATTAGATTTAATAACAACATCAGGTACAAATAAATGTGGATCTGTATCAATATTACAACAAACAATTAAACCAGAATTAATAACAACACAAGCATTACCTGGTTCAATTGATATGTGGACTGTTTATTCATCAACAAATGAACAAAATGAAAAACGTGAACATTCATTTATATTAATAAGTCAAGAAACATCAACATTAATATTTCAAACTGGTATTGATATAACAGAATTAGAACAAGGTGGATTTTTAACAAATGAACAAACAATTTTTTGTGGAAATATTGGTGAACAATTAATTGTACAAATAACAAGATTACATGCTATATTATTACGTGATAGTACACAATTACAAATGATTTCATTTGAAAATAATCCAATACGTTTTGCAACAAGTCTTGATCGTTATTTAGCTATATTAACAACACATGGTATTATTCATATTTATTTACTTATAGATATTAATAATGAACAATCAAAACTTATTGAATATTATAAATTAAATGATAAAAAATATACATGTGTTAATTTATATATTGATCATAGTGAATTATTTACAACAACAATAAATAATAATAATAATAATATTTATTCTCATTCAACAATATTAAATTCACCTAAACAAGAAACAATTCAACAAACTGTTGTATCTTTACCATCAAATCCACTTGATTCAACAGAATTTACTGGAGGTGATGATGAAGATGAATGGTTATATGGAGGAAAAACAATTGAAAATCCATTAGCATCTGTAACAACAGTAGAACCTATGGATAGTTCAAATATTTCTACAACAACAAAATCTCTTCCTATAATTAATAATAATAATAATAATAATAACTCAATAAATATTATTCCGACTACACGTTGGTTAATAGCTATTAGTAAAGATGGAACATTAACAATACATGAATTAATGACTGATGAAACAAAATCAGCAACAATACGATATGAAATAGCACGTTTTAATAGTGGACTTAAAATACTTGTTGATGTACATGATGCAAGTCCATTAATGACACATTATTTAGGCAAAATTGAAACATCATGTTCAGCTTCAGTTTATGAATTACTTGTTATTGGTTTAGGACCAAAAAAAGATCGTGTGTATATGATTGTAAGTTTTTTTTTTCTTTTAAAGCTTAAAAACGAAGAAAAGTAATCCCGAGAAGTGATCAATATGAATCTTTTTTTTTTAATGTGATTGAATATAGTTGTTTTATAATATTATATAGTGGCACATAATGTAGAAGCAAACAGTTTAGAAATGAAGGCTTTTGGACTTATTTCCTTAACAGTAATAACTAGGATAAATCGGAGAAAAGATTTGATTAGCTCGAACAATTTCCTATCAGAAGAGATACTTGTCGAATTCTTCTATAACAGATTTGGGTGAATGGAGAAAACGTTTATGAACAAAATAAGATGTCCCAAAGTTCTCCACAATCGACCTTCAGCAAACGACAACTATTCGGCGATAGGCCTAAAACACTGTTTTCTGTTTAGGGTCTTCTGTAGGATGAAAAAATTTGTTGTGGAAGTCTTAGTTTTCAAGAGAGCTTTCACCCAAACCTGTTAATGAGTATTTGACAAGTACCTCAGATGATGGGAAGTTGTCTCAGCTAATCAAGTATTCTCTTCAGTTTGTTCTAGTTGAGGAAAAAACTCAAAAATACTTCGTTTTGAAACTTTTTTATCTCTATGTTAGTTTTCTTGTGGTATACAACAGATTCAATCTTTAATAAGAATCAAAGTAAATCTAGTTTAGCCTATGGATTTTCAGTCAAAAAAAAGAGGGACGATTTAAAACTCTGAGAAGACGAATACTTGGTTTTGAGAGCACGGGCTCATAGTACGTCGTACAATAACTATAAACTCTAGAAGTGCCAACTGAATCTTTGGAGAGGTGGCGCCCTCTCGATCTCCACACTGAATAAGACACTGATAGTCTTCTTTACTGTATACGTTATATTACAGATTTTTTGCGTTGAATTAAAGGCGAGATTGTTCTATGCAAAGTGATATAAGAATTAAGAATTTTAGAATAATCATTCAGGAATGGTCGAACTCACTTTACAAGTCTATATTCCATAGAAATTGAGAATATTGCCTAAATTGACCCGATGTTCCTTACCCGAAACACTCACTATTGACAAATCAATTGCAACAAACTAATCATTAGTTTACCATTTTATAGAGAAATATTTGCTCTTTCATCTGCTATATTTGGAATAATTTCTGATTCTAGTTTGAGTAAGTTTTGACACGTTACAGCTCGTCTAGATGGAATTTACAGACCTCGAAAAAGTCGATTCATAATTCTTAAATCAAAAGTTCTACAAAATTTTGAAGTCATATTCCTAAAGAACGCAAAATTTTTATACTAATCTAATATCTTCAAATTTCTATAGACTTTTTTAAAAGGCTGAAAAAAAATGAACGATCACTTTGTCAAATTACTTTTCTATCACCCATTACGTATTAGAACTTCCATTTCATAACTTAACAAATCATAATTGTAATATTGATTGAACATTTAGGCACGAATTGATGAAGATCTTATTTTATACGAAGCTTTTCCCTATCAAAATTTACCAGATGATCGTTTAAAATTACGTTTTCATCGTGTAACATGTAATGCATTAGTTCGAACAAAAAAATCTAGTGCAAAAAAGAATGCTGCAAAAAGACAAAAAGATGCTGCACAATTACAACAGCAACAACAACAACAACAAAATCAAGCAAAACACAATCCTATATCTCAAGAAGTATAGAAAAATTTCTAACGTTATTTAATTAATCTATTCTATATATATTATTATTATTATTATTTTAGCCACTTCCAGTACAAACTGATCTACTTGATGATGAAATGAATGAATATCAACGAATGTTATTAAGACCTTTTATTGATGTAGCTAATCATTCAGGTATATTTATATGTGGTACTCATCCATATTGGTTAATATGGTATGTTAGATTTGTATATCTAATCAATATATTAAATTGATTATAATGAATATTTTGTTTTTTTTCTTATAATTAGGTCTAAAGGTAATTTACGAGCTTTTCCAATGAATGTCGATGGACCAATAAAAACTTTTGCTGAATTTAATAATAATAATTGTCGTAATGGTTATTTATATTTTAATCAAAAAGATGATTTAAGAATATCTGTTATGCCATCAAAACGAATATTAGATACACCATGGCCTCTACAAAAAATTCCATTTAAACAAACAGGTGAAATTCTTTATTTATTTTTATGTCTATTAATATTTTTCTTTTTGTTTAGTACATTTCTTATGTTATCATGTTGAAAGCAAAGTAAAAATTTTTTTTTTCGTTGTATAGAAAATAAATTATTTAATTGATTGTGTTCGACTATTTTTAGTTATATGCTGCAACAATAAGTACTAATGAACCAACAAATACATTAGTACAACCATCCGGTGAAGATCGCGAATCAATAACATATCAAAAAGGTTAAATAATTGATTGTTAAAATAAATTTTATTATTTTATGCTTTATTTTTTTTTTCTTATTATTATAGAATCCAATTTTCTTTTACCTTTACGTGAACAGTTTTTTGTACAACTTTATTCAGCTATTAAATGGGAACCAATTCCAAATGCTAAAATAACTATGAACGAATGGGAACATGTAACATGTATGAAAACAATTGCATTAAGATTTCAAGGAAATTTAATGAAAACTTATATTGCTATTGGTACAGCAAATTGTTTTAATGAAGATGTTGTTAGTAGAGGACGTGTTATTCTATTTGATATTATTGAAGTTGTTCCAGAAGTTAATCAACCACTTACTAAACATAAATTAAAAGTAAATATTGATATATGAAAATGAAAAGAAAAAAATATATGATCCTGAACGAAAGTAGTTGCAGCCGTTTTCCCACAAAGTATTGCTATTTTGTGGAACACGATCTAAATAGGGTAGAAATTTGGACATTCCCCCTCTATAAACCAACCGTAACAAACGTTAGTCTCGTTCTAATGCATGAAATACTTCCTTATTACATTTCTGAAGGATTAAGTAAAAGGATGGTGAAGGTATGTGTCCCAAAATAGATAGAATAAAGCAATCTTCTTATGATTAGCTACAAACATTACATCATGTTTCAAATTTTAATCCCACAGAGATTTTGCTAACAACTTTTATAATGATATTGAGTTGATATTTTATATATGAGTTGATGGAGGACTGGCTAATGCTTGCAATCAAGGTTTATTGTCGCATGCATTTACCTAAAATGTCGGCTCAATATCATAAAGAATAGTAGCACTTCAGGCGAGACGGGTACTTTTGATCAGTACCGTATAAAAATTTTTTTTTAATATTTAGACTGTCCATGATCGTGAAGAAAAAGGTCCTGTAACAGCCGTAGATTCAATTCTTGGTTATCTCGTTGCTGCTGTCGGTCAAAAAGTTTATATATGGCAATATCAAAATAATAGTTTAAAAGGCATTGCTTTTGTTGATATACAAATATATTGTCATCGAATGGTAACAATAAAAAATTATATTCTTATTGGTGATGTACATAAAAGTATTGCTTTATTACGTTATCAAGAAAATATGCGTGTTTTATCATATGTTAGTCGAGATTCACGTCAATTAGATGTATTTGCAACAGATTTTTTTATTGATCAAACACATGTACAATTTGTTGCTACAGATTCAGATCGTAATATGTATATTTATGCTCATGCTCCAACACAAAAAGAAACTCAAGGTGGACAATGGCTTTTACGAAAATCAGATTTTCATATCGGATATTCTGTTACATCAACAATAAGAATGGTAGTCAATGTGAATAATTTAACAACAAAACAAAATTTTGAAAATAAACAAGCTTTAATTATGCGTAAGTTAAAATATCCATTAACGTTTCCTATCAGATATGTCTTGATCACATGCAGTTTAGCAAATATCTTTCCTTAACGATAGTGATTAGACTGACATAAGTCATTCTCCACTTTTCTAACTATATAACAATCAGATTAAACTCTTGATTAGTCATATCTGCCTCTTAATCAACACAGTAATGACGTAAGAGCACCAGTTCACTACTCATTTTTTTACTATCTATTCCCATAAGTTTTCTCTCTGCCGTGTTATTAATCAGTGAACAGAAATTTTTCATAGAACTAAAAATTCTATATAAGCTTTGTGCATTGATTAAATATTTTTTAGACATGAACATTATTAATTACGTGTATACTTGATCTGCTTTCCACGTTATATGCGATCTGTTATTTCTTATGTCTCTGCAAAGTATAGGCTATCAATAGTAGAAAGCATAAATAAATTTATGACAACTAGTCGGTTTTGGTTCAATAAATTGCACACTTCTTTCAGAAATAATTTTCGACATGAGTAAAACATGTTTGATTTGCGAAAAAAAAAACATGCAAAATATTCAGAAAAATCCAGATCTGCCAGTAAGGAATCTTTTATCGGACCAGCCATTTACCGTATCTAATTTCAATCAATATGAATTCAAATATATATATTTTTTTCATATACTATTTCGGTCGATGAGATACACGTCTTATAAAAGGAAATAAAAGTAATTTCTGAGTTTATAAAGGGAAGACTATTTTTCAAACTAAATGATATCTTATAAAGTTTAATCAAATGTTTTCGGTGTTGAAGAATTCGAATCTGTAATCGAATTCTTGAAATTGTATATTTGATTTCTCGGCGATAAAGGCTATTTTGAGATACTCGACCAAGAAATCAAGTATACAATTTCAAGAAGCCAATTACAGATTGAGATTCCTTGACTCCTGAAAACCTCTGATCAAACTTTATACGAGAAATCGTGATTTTTCCCCAATGGCTATTTCCTAACAAAAGAATTAAATCCATGAATTTGTCCATTATCCGTTACTTGGTAACGTAACGGTAACTTCCATGCTCTATTCTGATGGCCAGAATCATGAACTCACTTTTCCTTCTCCTCTTGCTTAGTACCACGTGAAATCGAATCGTTGATATTCTTTGAATAAATAGAGTCAAGTTCTTTTCCATAGAACTTATGTGTAATGTTTATTTTAAAAATTATTTTAGCAACTCTTGATGGTGGTATTGGTTGTCTTGTACCTTTAAATGAAAAAATTTTTCGACGACTAGCTATGTTACAAAATTCGCTAACAACAATGTTTCCACAATATTGTGGTTTAAATCCAAAAAGTTTTCGGTAAATATTAATTTATAATAATTATCAAAAAAAAAAGACTCTATCTCTTGATTTCTTTATTTAAGAATATGTAAAACACGACGAAAACAACTTGATAATCCTCAAAAAAATACTCTTGATGGTGATTTACTTTGGCGTTATTTTGATCTTAGCTTTATTGAACGCAATGAATTACTCAGTCGACTTGGAATGACACCCGATCAAGTAAAAGAAAAAAAAACACATTTTTTTCATTATAAAAAAACTGATATTTTTATTTTATTTTTAGTTTCATGAAGATTTGACTGATATTGCACGAGCTGTGACTTTATTCTAATTATTATATAAATAGTTGTTTTTCTTTGTCTTTTTCTTTTTTCATGTGTGTTTCGTTGTGTATAGAAAAACTCAGATGTATTATGTATTTTGATTGTTGACATTTTTTTTTCTCTGTAGATTGAAAAAAACACAGAAATGGTTTTTGAAAATTTTTTTCAAAAACAAAAAAAATCCGACCCTATACCTTCATCTTCTTCAGTAACTAAGACTGAAAACGATAATAATGATAATCAATATATAAATTCATTAAAAGATTGTAAACCTACACCACTTGAAGATTATGGTTATTATTTTTTTCCGGAAAGATTTGGTAAAGAACATATATTAACAATACCACAACGTATTTTTCAACTTTCAATACCATATGATTCAGCTTCACGAGATTTAACAAGAAAAATTGAATGTGAAAAATATATTATTAAATCAGTTGAATCAAATCCATTAATTAAAACACTTGTACAAGCACTTGCTGATCATAATTGTCCCATTGATTTATCACGTCATTTTAGTTGTGAATATTGTGATGATGCTATGCCAACTGGAATGTTTGATCCGGCAACAAATCAAATAGTTGTTTGTAAAAATCAAATATCATATTTTGATAATTGTATTATTACAGGACTTGTACAAGCGTTTGATTATTGTCGAAATAAATATGATGTGCATAATTTACGTCATTTTGCATGTAGTCAAATACGTGCATTAAATTTTACTGATTGTAGTCTTATTAAAGGATGCTGTAAGTCATACGATTAGTTTAAAATAAAATTTTATTTTATCTTTTTTTTTTTCTAGATGTTGATCTTCGTGTTAAACGACGTTATCATGCATGTTTAGAAAATGAAGCAGTACGACGATTACGCATGATGCGTTCAGTAGAAGAAAAAGAAGCAAAACAAATTGTTAAAGATGTTTTTCGACCATGTCGTTATGATTTGGAACCATTTGGTGAAGTTCCAAAACTCGTTCCAAAAAATAAATATATATACAATGAATATGAACGATATCGACGATGGTCTAAAACAACCGTGTAGAATGATGAATGTGTGTTTCATTTTTTAATTAGTCAATTGATGTTTTTTTCACTCTTTTGTTTGTTATTAAGAAAAAAGCGATAATATATAGGCTATTTAGCTGTGAGCTATTGACATTGTTGCTACTTCTCATTTTGTACTTTCTTATCAAAATATAAACTCAAGTATTGCTATATGTTTAAGTACTATTTATTAATCATAGACAAGAAATCGAGGAGTTTTGGATGATGCTATCAAACATATATACTTCAATTTAAATGTGGTACAGACGAGAAGGAAACAGTAAGGGCTTTAGTCTGGAAGTCTACTGTTTCCTCGTCGGGTACAAATTAAGAGAGAAAAGGAAAAATTCTATACTTCAGCATACTCCAAACGTACGTCAAAATTATCTTTGAAAACTTATTAGCTATATTGAGTTTACGATTAATGTGTTCATGAGCAAAACAGTCTGAGTTCGTCATGTGTAAGTCTATCTATCAATAAATGAAATGAACCCAAACTAATAGACTCGTGACATACGATGATAATAGACTCGAAAGAAAAATTTAACCTTGACGTACCATTGCAGCAAGCTGAAGAACGAAGTTTTCTCTTTTTTCTCTCGTTTACAAGTATCAATGGTCAACCTCAGAAATTAACGTCGACTGTATGGGACAACTCGATAAATGTATACAACAACATATGTCCAATTTGTAAATTATATTGTCACTTTTTTTAGTGACGAACTCAATCATCAGGTCGAACATCAGCTGTTTCCTTCTATGAATATTTATTTTTATATAAAAAAACTTACATATTGTTCAGCAAAACTGTTGCAAATTTGTATCGTAAGAATAATAAAATATCGATTAAGTAATATGTGTATGCATGAATAATAATTGATGATCAGCTGAAAACTTCAATTAATCGATAAACAATATATTTGACACAATTGAATATGACTTTCATAAATAGAAAATATATTTCAACACTTTTCGATCATATACGATTAGTTAAGGTTTCCATTGATCACTTGAATGATTGATCAATAAAATTGAGTTCGTTTTGTTATTGGTCTGTGTTTCTAGATATGAGAAATCCATATTTCAAATAAATACGTAGAGCTATCGAAAAGTAGTGAAAGATATACTTCATTTTCTTATAGAAAACATTTTGAAAAATTTCTTTCTTTATTACATGATAGAGCAAATGGCGGTGTAATTTTCTATGCTATTCTATCACTATCCAACAAACTTAATAATAATAATGTATAAATTTCGATAAGAACTACTTTTGTTGAAAAGTATCTGATAGCAATAGATTATAAATTGTGTGACATAAAAAATAGATCATTTTTTCATTTAATTTTTCATCACTTAACACTTAGTTTTAAAAAACAAAGTATGAAACAACGTAGGAAGATATATAATGTAAAAAACATCGCTTGTTTTATCACTACACTTTTTGTTTTCAAAATGCATGACATTTGGAGCGACTACATTGTGACACTGTGACAACGAGATTTCAATGAGACGCCCTTTAAAGATGTGATTGCAAGATATGATTTGATCGAAAAAAACCTATTCTATAAAATTTACGGTCTTTTGTGTTCTGAAGTTCCTGTTTAGATTTTAATTTACTTAATTACTAATAGACTATTAATGGAATTTTTCAAGAGTTTCGCAAAGTTTTATTGTAATAAGTTATTTTAAAACAAAAAACCACATAATTGTGCTGTGTTTTTGATGCTCTTCCTAATGAATATATTTGAAAATCAAAACTTATAGAAAAGTTTTCATGAATTAATTACTTGATCAAAATTATGGATTAATATTATTAAGTTATTTTAAGACTAGTATCAAAGAAAAATAAATTGTATCGAAATGCAGCCCGTTCAATTCCGCATGTGATTACATATGTTTGTAGAAATTTCTTTTTCTCTGTTCAATAGCGTTAACATAGACAAAATAAAGTATTAAAAGTCTTTTCAAATTTTGTTTACTGAAAAAAAAATTATAGTTTCTCTCCTGCTAGTTTTTCATTGAATGATTGGTTGAGTGAAGCACTAATGGTTTAAATAGACCTTATAGTCTTGACTACATATGACGTCTCAAACATACAATCTTACTCTCTTTCTTTTCATAAAAAAAACACAGAAGTGACTATGTCTTAAATGTTTGCTACTCACCTTATTTTATATAAAATTTTGCCTATATAATAGGCTGATAATTGTCAGGACACTTCAAAAGTTTCGATAGAAAAATGTTTCCTTGTTGAGATATTGATTTCTTAGAAAAAAACTTAATGTTTCTACACTCCACCGACTATTTGACAACTTTTTCAAGATCGGTATCTCGAAAAGAAAAATGCAATTGTCCAACGAAGTTTTACATGTATTTTACCAACTACGAGAACTACATATGTATATGGGTAAAATTTTGCATTGAAATTCTGTTGTTTGATTTTTCTGCAACTACCTTGTCCTAGACGAAAAAGTTGGTAAAATGGTCATAATCTGCGAAGAAATTCTCATCAGTTCAAGTCTTTTTATGATTTTGTCTAGAGCATTGTCCCTAACATAGGGACAAGATATCATTGAAAATAGCGTAAATCAATTAGAAAGCTGATTTGACACAATAACTGCTGTACAATATTTATACATTCTTCTGCTCTAATCTCAATTAGAAATATTTTCGTATCTATATACAAAATTGTTGCGGCAAATAGAAGGACGAATCTATTTTCTTTACATCAAACCTTATTTTCCTCTTTTAAAGTAATAATTCTATGTCAAATATATAAATAAAGACGATTTATTTTAATTATTGTGACTTAACTGAAAAATTCTATGTTTGGTTTATATCATATTACTCAAGTCGTGAGAATCGCCTCAGTCTTAGTGATTTATCACGATTTTTATAAAAACTACATATTAATCACAATTTCAACATAAAAGTTGACGAACAATCGTGACTGATCGCAGATTTTTTTAGCTATGTAAAACTATCGCCATAAATTGCCGATTATTTTGATGTTAGCGATTCATCGCAACTAATCGCCGATTTTGCAAAAGTGAAAATGCTCCAAATCAACTTGGACAGATAAACCTGATTGCTTATAATATTTGATCGAGAATCGAAAAAATGGAAACACTAAGGGTGTGAGTTTGGATGTGGTTGTGTGTGAGTGTGGATGTGGGCATCGATAGAAGTACCAAATCCACATATCCACATCCACCCACACCCAACTACATCCAAACCCACACTCGTGATCATATCCACATCTACACCCACACCCAACTACATCCAAACCCACACTCGTGATCATATCCACATCTACACCCACACCCAACTACATCCAAACCCACACTCGTGATCATACCCACATCTACACCCACACCCACACTTTTATTTTTATTATTTGTTTCCTTTCTTCTTTCTTGACCAAACATATCCGATTGGTAATATGCTAATGAAATTGTGTTTATTTATTGTTTTATCATTGAAAATGTTCTCTATTTCCCCTTTTTAAAATTCAACTGGAGTTGCATGAAACTATACATACTTTTATCGTAGTTAGTTGCTACTTTTTTGTCTATTTTCTTCATATCTTGAAGTGAAAATACACTAGTAACAAAAGAAAATCATCGTGTTAATGCATAGCAAAAGCTACATTCAAACCACAAAAATAAGATGATAATTAGACAGGACAAGCATCTTGTCTCATTCAGTCAAGATTCGATGTACATGAATCTTGCTAGAAAGTCAAGACTTGCTTTTGTACGCAAAAATCTTATGCTGAAGTATCTGTAAAAAGAATCCTGATGGACAATCTACAAAAATAAGAATCTGGAAAGAATAATGGTGAGAATGTCGATTAGGGATACACATTTCACAGAAATCAGAATTGTAATTGTAATTGTTATTCGTAAGAGCAATATTCGGTCTCAAATGCATTCTATCTTCATACCAGCAAATTTTTGACATGTTTTTATTATGAGAAAAACATTGTAGCATTTTTGCATAATAATTGAATCTGGAAATTTTCAGCAAATCTTCAGATCAGGTATTATAAAGTATGATCTCGTTCTCTAAAAGTTTTGTAACTTCTATCGTTAGATTACATATATTCAACATGAACAATTTTTACAAATAATTTAATAGTTATCAAGTGAAGAAAAAGCGAACAATTACTTTCAAAACTAAATTATCACTAAAATTGCTTTGTTTTTTTTAAAGAAATCTTTCGAAATTAAATAAGTATTTAAAATGTATAGCTAAAAAAGTCTTGAGAAAAAAAAATTTTTATCAGTCGTCGATTCGAAATTGATGTGTTTCATTTAGTCCGTTTTCTACACATGTAGAAATTGTCGTGTCTCTTGTTCAAATTTTCTTTTCTTCAACTTCATCCACCGTAGAGAAAAAGAATAAAGATATGGTTTTAGAGAAATTACGACGAATAAAAAGACAAACGTATAATTCACGTGGCTATGTACTAAGATGGACAAACTATTTGTGAAACATAGTACATAAATTAAAACTGAATTATGGCGCATCATTGGGTATTGTAATTTGTTCGACTGATCATTTTCCTTATTTATGGGTTTGATTACATATTGTGATATTGATGTCACTGATTAAATAAATGGTACTAATGTTCTCGGCAAGATATCGTGAAGATTCTAAGATTGAAGAAGTGCATATGTGTAAATCTTTCTCAAGACTATTATAAGGGATTAAAAAAATCCTACTCTATTTCTTTAATAATAATACATGATGTTCAAGTATTGGCGACGACCTGTTACTTTTGTGAAGCTTGGCTACCGGTAATATTGATGTAATTATTTTTGGCAGTGATAACAATGTGACTGATCCGTATTACGATACTGACATAGTGAGATTCCTATTAATATTAATGGTGTCGCAATAATAAACATTCCGTGGTAGACTATTTATATAATTCTTTATTGTTGTTCTATTCAACGAGTTAAGTCAATTGGCTACGAAATGGAAGGCAACTAA